TAACAAGTCCATACCCTGAGAGAAGTTCCGGTCCCAAGCCATTTTCACCTAGCATGGAAAATGACGGCTCTGGCAGCACGTATGCCTGAAAATGTATGTGATCCCTGGGGAACTGAGTGTGTGGGTGAACGGCAACATTCGAAAGGGGCAGCACAGGTCTTGCAGTGCCAAAACGACTCCACGTTGCTCATCCACTTCACATACCATCAGCTTTTTGAGCAGATCTAGATGGAAACCCTGTTTGGTCACTTCTCGTCCAATGTCCACGGAGGTCAGGATGATGAAATCAAGTATGTTGAAGACCCACACATAACAAGGATGCAGAAAAACATTCCAGGCGCTAACAACTCCACACATCCAGAGACAATTTCATTGCCCAAGCCATTTTAAGCTAGCATGGAAAACGAAGGCTGTGGCAGCACATATTCCTGAAAGTGTATGTGATCCCTTGGAAACTGAGTGTGTTGGTGTATGGCAATATTCGAAAGGGGCAGCACAGGTCTTCCAGTGCCAAAACGACTCCATGGGGCTCATCCACTTCACATACCATCAGGCTGTCTCCTAGATTAGGAAGGCAACCTTGTTTGGTCAATTCTGGTCCAAGGTCCACAGAAGGCCAGTGCTGGTGTCCATGTGATGGTTGTGGAAGACAGGAAGGTGTGAAGAGTATAGTTCCTTTACAAGCAAGGTCGCAAGGAACTTCCCGCTGTGTTGCAAGGCCCGGTGGATGTCTCTACAACACCTGAATGCAGCTCTGCCTCCCTTTGCATGGACACCGGACAACCCCGCTGAATATTCTGTAATCTATTAGGCATTGTCTGCCTCCTCAGAGTTACTGTTAAATATCAATAGGAACTTAGAAGCTAATGTTGCTGGTGCCGTTTTTAGCCAAAGAGCTATTATCGCTGTTAGGGCTGCATCCTGTGGCAATATGCTAATCAAGGGTGCTAACTCCCCTTTTGATCCTATGCTAATCAAAGGTGTTCTGTCTTCAGGTGTAGTGGAATCTATTCTTTCCCACTTTCTTTGATCTTTTAGGTCCCTACCTTCCTTGACTGCCTCAAGACCTAGCTGTAAAGTAATTGTGGTAGGAATGTGCTACTGACTGATATGCATCATCTATTGAAAACATTTTCCTAGCCAGGCACCAGGTGGTTAACATCCTAGCCTTAGGTAAAACAAATGGCAGAGTTATCTTTGGAAACACCCACTTGACCATGACGTAAAAAGTCTGAGCCAGAGTTTGACTGATTTTGTATAAATAAAGCGGACAGCTTTTGTGCGTAGTCCATTATGATGATGAAGAGTTACTAGTGGTCCGTCTCTTTCTTTCTCTCTTTCTTTGGGCCTCATCCACGCACCCTTCGCGTGTTCCGAACTCAGCTGGAGCTGGACTCCGGCAGGCCAGGATGATGAAATCAAGCATGTTGAGCACCCACACAAAACAAGGATGCCTAACCTAATTCCACGTGCTGAAAACTCCACATCCAGCGAGAAGGTCAACGCCCAAGACATTTTCAGCTAGCATGGAAAATGATGGCTCTGGCAGCACATATGCCTGAAAGTGTATGTGATGCATGGGGAAGTGAGTGTGTTGCTGAACGGCAACATTCGAAAGGGGCAGCACAGATCATCCAGTGCAAAACGACTCTACTTGGCTCATTCACTTCACATAGCATCAGCTTTTCGAGCAGATCTAGAGAGAAATCCTGATTGGTCAATACTAGTCCAGTGTCCATGGAGCCCAGGGGAATGAAATCAAGCATGTTGAGCACCCACACAAAACAATGATACCGATCTTCAGTCCAAGTGCTAACAACTCCGCATCCAGAGAGATGTTCAGCGCCGAAGCCATTTTCAGCTACCATGAAAAAGCACTGCTCAGGCAGCACATATGCCTGAAAGTGTATGTGATCCCTGGGGAACTGAGTGTGTTGGTGAATGACAAGATTATAAAGGGGCAGCACAGGTCTCCCAGTGCCACAATGACTCCATGGGGCTCATCCACTTCACGTACCATTAGGCTGTAGACAAGATTAAGCAGGCAAGCCTGCTTGGTAACATCTGGTCCAATGTGGACAGAGGCCAGGATGATGAAATCAAGCATGTTGAGCACCCACACGAAACAAGGATGCCGAACCTAATTCCAGGCGCTAACAACTCCACATCCAGCGAGAAGGTCAACGTCCAAGACATTTTCAGCTAGCATGGAAAATGACGGCTCTAGCAGCACATATGACTGAAAGTGTATGTGATCCCTGGAGAACAGAGTGTGCTGGTGAATGGCAACATTTGAAAGGGGCAGCACAGGTCTTGCAGTGCCAAAACGACTCCACTTGGCTCATTCACTTCACATACCATCAGCTTGTGGAGCAGATCTAGAGGAAAACCCTGATTGGTCACTTCTGGTCCAATGTCCATGGAGAACAGGAGCATGAGATCAAGCATGTTGAGCACCCACACAAAAAAAAGGATGCAGCTCCTCAGTCAGGCGCTAACAACTCCACATCCAGAGAATATTCAGCGCCCAAGCCATTTCCGCTACGATGAATTCTTTTGGCTCTGGCAGCACATATGCCTAAAATGTAAATGATCTCTGGGAACCTGAGTGTGTTGGTGAATGGCAACAGACGAAAGGGGCAGCACAGGTCTTCCAGTGCCAAAACGACTCCAAGTTGCTCATTCACTTCACATACCATCAGCTTTTATACCTGATGTAGAAGAAAACCCTGTTGGGTCCCTTAACCTCCAATGTCGAAGGTTGCCAGGATGATGAAATCAAGCATGTTGAGCACCCACCCCAAACAAGGATGCTGATACTCATTACAAGCGATAAATCTCCACATCCAGAGAGAATTTCAGTGCTCAAACCCATTTTCAGCTTCCATGGAAAAAAAACTGCTCTTGCAGCACATATGTCTGAAAGTGTATGTGATCCCTGGGCAACTGAGTGTGTTTTTGAATGGCAACATTCGAAAGGGGCAGCACAGGTCTTCCAGTGCCAAAACAATTCCATGGGACTCATTCACATCAAATACCATCAGATTTTCGACCAGACCTTGAAAGCAACCATGTTTGTTGACTTCTCGTCCAATGTGCATGGAGCCCAGGATGATGAAATGAACCATGTTGAGCACCCACACAAAACAAGGATGCAGCTCCTCAGTCAGGCGTTAACAACTCCACATCATTAAACTGACAGCTTGATCAGACATCCTGTCTTGCTGTCCATTCTTCGTGTCTCTTGTCCCCCTCATTCTCTCCTAGTTGGTTGTGACCACCGTTGACTGTCCTGCTGAATGGGACATTTTGGCGCCCAACGTGGCTGATGTGCAGACCACCGACAGAGAGAATGTGCCACACAAAAGGAGAGGCCTCTTGTGGTGGTGTTGAACAAAACACTGGGTGAGAAGTTTCACGGTTGACCCACTGGATGTCATGCTCGAGGAAAATCGTGGCAAGTCTTACAGAGTAAAGGTAAAATGGGACAAGAATTATCAAGGCAAGATTTATTCTTGCATGGTTTTATCAATCTTATAGACTCATTCAAGACACGAGGAATTTAGGTGATTAAAAGAGACCTCAAAACCTTTTTGGATTTTGTTTGTCAGATTTTTCGCTGGCATCCCCAGGAAGGTTCTATATAAATCATTTAATGCTTATTAAAAAAAAATGTGTTCTGTAACTTGATTTAACAAAAGTAATCTGATATAGAGTGGTCCAAATCCACTGTTAAATTAACCTAAAGCATTAGATGAATTATGTGTGCTTGTTTTCCAAAATATTTCCAGGTTAAAGTATTTCAAAGAAGAGGTTGGAAGTTGCAAAAGATTTGATAGTTATGTGACTCTGTTCTGATAGGTTTGGTGTTTGTGTTTATGTTTGGTTTTTTGTCAATATTGTTGGTGTTCTATTATTTTTGTCCGGACAAAAACTAAATTTTATTTTAATGCTCTTCATCCAGTTGTGACTTTGTCTTGAATTGTTATGTTGTTGTTCTTGTTCTGAATTGATTGCGTGTGTGACTGACAGACGAGATGGGACGGACCATGACTAACCTCTCTTTTCTCTCCTGGTAACTAATTTTAGAGAGGTTTAAAATTTAACAGGACCTGGCCAGAACAGACTCCCCACCTCTACGGGGGAAATGTTCGTGTGTTATTTTCTTGCTGTTTGGTCTTCAACTTACTGTGTTGTCCTGGCATTGATTAGGTCTAACATTCATTATTCAATATGTTCAGTTACATGCTAAAGATAATTTTTGTTTAACTCATTTAGACCTCTAAATTCTTCATAGTTCTAAACCAAGTTTCATGAATTTGAGGATTCTAGTAGGATCGCTGGAACTCTCAAAGATTGAGACAAAATTTGAATAACATACTTGTCATTTAAAATAATTTGGATTGTAATCTCACAATATTATAAAATTAAGCTAATTTTTTGCTGCATATATGCTATTAAAGTAGGTGAGTATTTATGTTTATTGGTTGAAATATTTCCTATTCATAAAATTGATTCAGATTGTAAATTACTTGTGTTCTTATTTACAAGGAAGTGTGTGAGATTTTGCCTTGCAGGAGAATAATGAATTCTTTAAAGATGCGTAAGTAAAACGGCTCATAATGTGTATGTTTTCTGAATGTTTGCCTTTAAAACTATGGAACTGAAGTCTGATTCTTTGTGAGAAACAAAAGTGTTTTAACATTTCCTGTAAGTTATCTTTATCTTATTAATAACTAAATCCATTAGCTAACTTCAGTAAATCCCAAGGTAGTCTCTCAAGACAACAGCCAAATTGAAGTTTTTTCAGCTCTTTTGACTTTAATAAAACAGAAGCTAAAGAAAAGCTCCAGGCCCATCAGCCATAAACAAGGAAGAGACATGCTTGGAGTCTGCCCTTTGAAGAATTTGGGACTTCGACTTTGTCCCGGTTGTGGTAATTCTTATCTGCCTTCATTTAAAAAAAAAAAATCCAAATTAGCTAAAAAAATGATTGTTTGAAAAAACTTCTCTTTCCTGGTTTCAAAGTGGATTTGTGCTAAATTATGTTTCCATGAATTAGGAAAATGGTTGAAAATTGTTTAAAGCATTGTATTTTAATGTTGGTATGCTTTTATTAAAAAATGTCTTAAGAAAAGTTGAGGAATGAATGTTGTAAGCTTTATATATAATTGGCTATAGTTTTAAAGATACTATTTCAACATTGTTTAAGTCTTTAACATTAATACCTAATACATGCTGATGTTAGAATTGATATCTGTGTTCAAACATTTTTTGAAGTGTACATACATAAAAATGCTAGTAAATATCTAAAAACATAAATATCTCCAATTTTGAAAGCTGTTAAAAAATTGAAACACTGAACTTTAGGTTTAATTCATGACTCTGTCAATTGTCTTTCCAGCTTCAGTAAGCTCTATTCTTGTTTCTACTTTTGAATTTGTTAAAGTTCTGAAAAAGTTATGAGATGATTTTATGCATTAATTCTTGTGTTTAAGGTTATATTTGGTGATTGACTGAGGAAATATACATTTTGCCTTTCAGTTAGGTAATCCCTTGGGTTCTGTATATTGTCTTTGTTAAATTCTCATGATTTAAAAAAAAATCTGTGTTTTCAAGAGTATTTTCTGATATGTATTTACCTTAAAATATTTGGGTGATCATTTATAAGTGATAAAAAAAAAATTTATCTCTTGCTGTTTAAATCAGTTCTGACTAAATGGGTGATTATTATAGTGAGAAATCTGTGATCAAATATTTTAAGGCCTCTTGGCATATTTAATAGGGTTAACTCTTCTGGTTCTGGGATTAAAAAAAATCCCAGATGGTGGGGGGGGGGGAGGGAATTGCAGAAAACACATTGGGAAACCTTGCCAATGGGGAGCCCAACTAGATAAAATCCTGTCAGGAAGGCTAGGTATAATAAGTACAAGAGTGTGTAAAATCCTACAGGTCATGTCACAGCGCCAAACACAGAGACTGTTTTCTAGGATTCCAGCAGACCTATTGCATCAATTAAAGCTAAAGTTTAATTGTAAACTATAGGTATGGTTTAATCAGACTACTAGTAATATATATATATATATATATATATATATATATATATATATATATCTCTAAACCATTGGTAACTTTGACACACTTAAGAGAATTCTTAAATAGTTACAAAAGCTGTTTTGTTTTATGTGTGTTAACTGATTTGTATGTGCATGTTTATGAATGAGAATTGCTAAGCTAAATCTTTTTTTATTAAATAATGTATAGATGCATAATTAGGCTCTTAGAAAGTCATGTCCATTATTGTTTTCTCAGGACCTACAAGATCTGTTCAGCTCAATAGTTTAACATGATTTCAAATGCATCTACTGCTAGGGCACAGTTTCAAGACTGGCCATGGGAGCCCAAATCCACATAAGCTAAAAGGAAAATATATGGGTGTATGTATGTAAGTGTCAAATGATAACTCAGATCTCAGAGAATTTTTAAAATACTCCAACATGGGAAGCAGACTCATAGCCTGACAATTTTGAATAGCACTCAGTGGCCTCAGAATCAGCCCAAAAGGCATTCTGGTCTGACAGGGGAGCCAGCAAGAGAACAAGCATATCAGGTGTGGAAAGCCCAGGACACTGCTGCTAGGAGTGTCCCTCTGTGAAGGACCTCAGTGGTCCACACACCAGTACAAAGAAGCAGCCACTGAGGACTGTTGTGCTCTTCTCTCAATGGAGGAGAGAACTTCCACTTTGTGTGTGGCCTTGTCTAATGGGGTTGTTGTGGATTCAAGAGGCTTCCATAGTGTAAGCACCGTGTGTCTGAAGGATCAGGTGATCAATGACATCATACATTAGAGTGCTAATTTGTTAAATCCACTAGAGTCACTGTGTACACTGACTTTCAATGCAGGACCTGTATATTCAGAGTCACAGTAAAATTAATAGTATACCTTGCTGTATTTTAGTATAAAGATTTATAATCTCAGTTTTGATTATGTTTGAATATTTAACTCTTTTGCTCTAAGAGGTCAGCTTGCATTTACCTGTCCTGTGATGGGCTTATATCCTGATGCTGTATGCTAATCCATGCATTGTTACTGTGCCTTCTGATTGATTTAGGTTAGCAATTTTATGCAGCTCAGAACTTTCATGTGTTCCATTGAGCTTATTGAGTATGTTACAAAATTTGAGACTTAAAGAAGTTAATTTAGACAGATAAAAATCTAGTCCATACTCTTAATGTTCACTCTGACAAAAGTTGAAACCTAACAACTCTTTTACATCTACTTTCTGATGCTCAAGTATTCAAACTGCTAACTGAAATCACAACCTGCTAGGCTGGGAAGAGTTATAACTATCTTATGTTTTGTTATTTAGACTTCAACAAAGAGAAAGTTTTCAAGTGCCAGGATGTACATCAAACACCTGATGACTTCTGCCTTCTATCAGGAACCAGTAGATGGACCTCCTACAGCTGCTGTTGCCCAACAGTGCACCCACTCAGCAGGAATTAGCTAAGAGCGGATGATGACGCCCCTTCTCCCTAAAAACAGTTGGGGTTCATTTCTGTTTGAAAATGTAGGAGCCAAATGGGGTAATAGGCAGTTAGGGTCTCTGGTTCCTGATAAAACTGTCATGTATACATGTAACATCTTAGCACTATGAGAGTCTGGAATGTTAGTATTTTCAACAATACTTGTACATTGTTATGTATGCCTTTTGAATCTCACCAGCCAGCTGCTCCCCAATATACCATCATATATGTGTCACCCCAGTAAAAGTTCACAATATTTCAGCCAGAGTGATAAAAATCAATCAATGTCTCTGGGGACAATGCTCTCACGCCTTCCTAAATTCCACCAGTTACCACCAGTATAATTAAAGTAAATGAGACCCGAGTTCTACCCATGTCTGGCAAAGTTGTTCTAAATGGCATTAAGCTGGCAGCTTGCATGTTCAAGAAATACAGCGAGGTTATGGCCTTAAAAACCTTGATGGTTGCTGCAATGGCTCAGGCTCCTCAAGTGATAACCGCCCACATAATGCAGTGCGGCTCCAGTCTTCAAAGAGGCTCATCTAATATAATGAGGCATGGCCTTTTCCAGGTAAGCATTTAGCCAATGACGGGCATCTTTCTAATATCCCGCCAACCTAAGACAGGGAGCCCTGGATGACTGGCAGTGCTGCCCAGAGACGGGTAAGAGTTGAGGGTCCCTCAGAATGAACCTAAGACAGGCAGTGCTTATCTTGCCTCAAGGAACATTTTCTTTTCCCCACATTCATTGATATATAGAAAAGAGGGGGAGATGTCAGGAGCCTTGTACTGTAGCCACACTGAAGCCATTTTGAATATAGAACCGTTGGCCAGTGAAAAACACCCGGCTGGCTAGATGCTTGGGAAAGAAGTTATGAAACTAAACGCACGCTTAGCTTCAATTGTTTGTAGCAACTGTTTCAGAATGTGACTTATGCTGTGACTGCCAACATCTTGTTACTGATTACCTATGCTATTGTTGGTATGTTGGTTACTATGGTTGATATGGTGGCTGCTCAAGAACAATCGGTCTGAAAACCATGGCTTGCGTCCTAGTTTCTCCTTTCCTCCCTGAGCCTTAGTTACTAAAGAATATAAAAACACTCAATTAAAATCAATAGACTGACAGCTTGATCAGACACCCTGTCTTGCTGTTCATTCTTCGTATCTCTTGTCCCCTTCATTCTCTCCTAGGTGGTTGCGACCGCCGTTGATTGTCCTGCTGTACGAAAAAGTGGAAATATTGGAAAGGGGAAGCACAGGTCTTCCAGTACAAAACAACTCCATTTGGTTCATTCACTTCACATAGCATCAGATTTTTGTAGAGCTCTCCGGGAAAACAGGATTGGTCACTACTCGTCCAATGCCCATTGAGTACAGGGTAATGAAGTCAAGCACTTTGAGCAGCCACACAAAACACGATGAAGATCCTCACTGCCAGTGCTAGTGACTTCAAATCCAGAGAGAAGTTCAACGCACAAGCCATTATCAGCAATCATGAAAAACAAGTGCTCTGGAAGCACATATGCGTGTAAATGTATGTGATACCAGGTGAACTGAGTCTGTTGGCAAATGAAAACATTAGAAAGTGGCAAAACAGGTCTACCAGTGGCAAAACGACTCCACTAGGCTCATTCACTTCACAAATATCAGCAGTTAGAGCAGATATCTGGGAAACTTGTTTGGTGAATTTTTGTCTAATGCCCACGGAGCCTAGGAAGATGAAATCAAGGATATTGAGCACCCACATGAAAAAAGATGTAGATCCTCATTCCAGGTAGTAAAAACTCCATATCCAGAAACAAGTTCAGCGCCAAAGCCATTTTCACCTACATTGGAATAGTACAGTTGCTCTCTCAGCATATATGCCTGAAAGTGTATTTGAACCCTGAGGAACTGAATGTGTTGGTGAATGGCAACATTCGAAAGGGGCAGCACAGGTCTTCCAGTGCCAAAAGGACTCCACGTGGCTCATTCACTTCACATACCATCAGCTTTTCAACCAGACCTTGAAAGTAACCCTGTTTGTTGACTTCTCGTCCAACGTCCATGGAGGCCAGGATGATGAAATCAAGCATGTTGAGCACCCACACAAAACAAGGATGCCGATCCTTATTCCAGGCGCTAACAACTCCACATCCAGAGAGAAGTTCAGCGCCCAAGCCATTTTCAGCTACCATGGAAAACGACGGCTCTGGCAGCACATATGCCTGAAAGTGTATGTGATCCCTGGGGAACTGAGTTTGTTGGTGAATGGCAACATTTGAAAGGGGCAGCACAGGTCTTCCAGTGCCAAAACGACTCCACGTGGCTCAGTCACTTCACATACAATCAGCTTTTTGACCAGATCGAGAAGAAAACCCTATGGAGTCATTTCACATCCAATGTAATTTTTTTGTTTGGTTGTTGGTTATTTTTTGAACCTGTCATTGATACTGTCTCAACCCAGATGTTTCGAAGAATGGAACTTGCATTATTTTTAACATATTGTTTACCCAATACCATGTCAATTAATTCCATAATGTTGTATATTGATACTGAGGTTTTATTGGGGCTTTTAACTGACCGGATCTTTACTCTGTTAGCCCTATCTTCAGACCAGAGAAGGTCTCCCCAAGAGGCCACTGAACTTGTCTGGGCAATAAGATGCTGGAATTTATGCTAGGTATGTGCTTGCAATGAAGGAATCTCAACTGAACTTCAACTGTGGTTATGCAACAAGGTGGAGGAATCCACCATGGGGGGAGGGGTATGGAAGGGGTGGGAGGAATCCCCAGTGCCTGCAAAACTGTATCGCATAATACAATCTTAACAACAATAAAAAAAAGGAGCAGCACAACTCTTTCAGTGCCAAAACGACTCATCCTGGCTCATTCATTTCACACACCTTCAGCTTTTAGAGGAGATTTCCGGAACACCCTGTTTTTTCACAACTCGTACAAAGCCCGAGGAGCCCAGGATAGGGAATCAAGCATGTTCAGCACCAACACAAAGCAACGATCTAGATACTCACTTTAGGCGCTAACAACATCACACCCAAAGAGAAGTTCAGTGCCCAAGGCATTATCAGCTAACATTTAAAACATGTGATCTGAAACTGTATGTGATCCCTTGGAAACTGAGTTTTTGGGAGAAAGGCAATGTTAGAAAGGGGCAGCAGAGGTCTTCCAGTCCCAAAATGACTCAACTTGGCTCATTCACTTCACACACCATCAGCTTTACAAACAGATCTGCAGCTAATCCAGTTTGGTAACTTCTCTTTTAATACCCATGGAGCCCTGGAGTATGAACAAAGCATGTTGAGCACCCACACAAAACAAAAAAGGAGATCCTCATTCCAGGCGCTAACAACTCCACATCCAGAGAGAAGTTCTGCATGCAAGAGCTTTTCAGGTTGCATGGAAAACCTGTTCTCTGGCAGCACATATGCCTGAAAGTGCATGTGATACATGGGGAACTGAGGGTGTTGCTAAATGGCAACATTCCAAAGTGACAGCACAGGCCTTCCATTGCTAAAACGACTCCACTTGGTTCATTAACTCCACATGCCATCACCTTTCCTAGCAGATCTCTTGGAAAAATCTTGGTCACTTCTCAGCCAATGCCCATGGAGCTCAGGATGATGAAATCAAGCATGTTGAGCACCCACACAAAACAACAATGAAGATACGCTCTCCAAAACCCATCCACTGCACACCCAGGTAAAAGTTCATTGCCCAATGTTTTTCAGTTACCAAGGAATACAGCAGCTCCTGCGTCAAATATGCATGAAATTGCACGTGATCCAGCGAAACTGATTGTATTGGTGAATGGCAACTTTCAAAAGAGACAGCAAAGTTTTTCCATTGTCAAAACTACACCACTTAACTCATTAACTTCACATGCCATTAGCTTTTCGAGCAGATCTCCTAGAAACCCTGTTTGTTCACTTCTCGTCCAATGTCCATGGAGCACAGGATGATGAAATCAAACATGTTGAGCATCCCCCCCACCAAAAAAACGATGTGAATCCTCAGTCATGGTACTAACAACCCCATACCCAGAGAGAACTGCAGTGCCAAAGCGTTTTTCAGCAACCATGGAAAAAAAGAGCTCTAACAAATGATATCCGTGAAAGTGTATGCTGTACATAGAATCTGAGTGTGTTGGTGAATGGCAACATTCGAAAGGGTCAGCAGAGCTGTTCCAGGGGAAAAATGTCTTCAATTGGCGCATGAACATCACATGCCACTTCTCATTCTATGTGCATTTAACCCAGGATGCTGAAATCAACCATGTTGAGCACCCACAAAGAGCGATGTAGATCCCCACTCCCAGTGCTAAGAACTCAACATCCAGAGAGAAGTTCAGCGCCATAGAAATTTTCAGCTACACTGCAATACTACAAGTGCTCTGGAAGCACATATGCCTGAAAGTTTATGGGACCTCTGGGCAACTGAGTGTGTGTTGGGGAAGGGCAACATTCAAAAGGGGCAATGCAGGTCTTCCAGTTCCAAAACAACTCCACGTGGCTCATTCACTTCACATACCATGAGGTTTTGGAGGATATCTGTTGGAAAACCTATTTGGTCACTTATCATTCAATGCCCATGGAGCCCAGGATGATGCAAGCAAACATGTAGAGCACCCATGCAATACAAGGATGAAGATGCTCACTATTGGTGCTAAAAAATACACATGAAGAGAGAAATTCAGCTAACAAAAATTTTAGCTCCCATTGAATACAACGTATCTGGAACCACATATGCCTGAAATTGCATATTATACCTGGGAAACTGAGGTTTTTGTTAATGGCAACCTTTGACAGAGGCAGCATAGGTCTTCCCATTTCAAATCAACTCCACATGGTTTATTAGCTTCACATGCTGTCAGCTTTGATTAGATCTCCTTGAAATTATGTTTGGTCAATTCTCCTTAACGCACTTGGAGCCCAGGATGATGAAATCAAGCATGTTGAGAACCCACAAAAAACTACCATGAAAATGCTCACTCACAATGTTAAAATTCCACATCCAGAGAGAAGTTCAGCGCCAAAGACATTTTCAGCAACCATGGAAAACAAGTGCTCTGTCAGCACATATGCCCAAAACTGTATGTAATTCCTGGGAAACTGAGTGTGTTGGTGAATCGCACTTTTTGAAAGCTGAAGCACAAGTCTTCTAGTACCAAAATGATTCCAGTTGTGTCTTAACTTCACATAACATTAGCTTTTTAGGCATTTCCTGGAACCCTATTTGGTTACTATTCTCTAATGCACATGGAGCCCTGCATGCTGAAATAGAGCAAGTTGAGCAACCGCAAAAACGAAGGATGTAGTCCTCAGGGCAGACGCTAACAACTCCACATCCTGAGCGAAGTTCAGCGTCCAAGCTAATTTAAGCTAAAATGCAAAACATGTGCTTGGGAAGCACGTATGCCTGAAAGTGTATGTGATCCCTGGGGTACTGAGTGTGTTGCTGAATGGTTATATTCAAAAGGGGCAGCAATATTCTTCAAGTGCCAAAATACCTCTGTCTGTGTAAATCACATCACATTCCATCAGCTTTTGGAGCAGATATCTGGGAAACTGTTTGGTCACTTCTTGAGCGATGCACATGGAGTCAAGAATGATAAAATCAAGCATGTTGAGCACCCACACCAAACAAAGCTCTAGATCCTCACTCGAGCCATTAACAACTAAACATCCAGAGACAAGTTTAGCGCCAAATTCATTTTCAGCTACTATGTAAAACAAGTGCTCTGAAAGCACATGCACCTGAAATTGTATGTGATGCCTGGGTAACTGAGTGTGTTGGTGAATTGCATCATTGCAAAGGGGCAGCACAGGTTTTCCAGTGCCAAGACGACTTCCACTATTCTGATTCCCCTCACATACCATCAGCTTTTGGAGCAGATCTCGGTGAAACCCTGTTTAGTCATTGCTCTTCCAATTCCCATGGAATCCAAAAGGATGAAATCAAGCATTTTGAGCACCCACAGAAAACAAGGATGTAGATCCTCTCTCAGGCCCTAACAACTCAACATCTGTAGAGAACGTCAGCGTCCAAGCCATTTTCAGCTACCATGGAAAATAAGTGCTCTGACAGCACATATACCTGAAAATATTTGTGATTCCTTGGTGAATTGTAACATTCGATAAAGACAGCCCAGGTGTTCCAGTCCAAACAACTCCACTTGTTCAATCATGTTCAAACACCATCAGCTTTTGGAGCTAATCTTTGTGAAACCCTGATTGGTCACTCTTCGCCCAATGCATGGAGCCCAGGATGATGTTGTCAAGCATGTTGAGCATGTTGAGCGCCAACACAAAAGAAGGATGTAATCCTCACTGCAGACACAAACAACTCCACATCCAGAGTTATGTTCAGTGTCCAAGACATTTTCACTTACCATGGAAAACAAATGCTCTGGCAGCACATTTGCCTGAAAGTGTGTGATTCCTGGGGAACTGAGTGTGTTTCAGGAATATATGATGACATGTCACTTGCATTGCATGGTAGCTGAAAATGGCTTGGGCGCTGAACTGCTCTCTGGATAAGTTTTTTTGTTTTGTTTTGTTTTGTTTTGTTTTAAAGATTTATTTTTTTTATTATTTTTTTATTGGATAGGCGGATCTATAGAGAGGAGAGACAGAGAGGAAGATCTTCCGTCTGATGATTCACTCCCCAAGTGAGCGCTATGGCCATACTATGCCGATCCAAAACCAGGAGCATCTTCCAGGTCTCCCACGCAGGTGCAGGGTCCCAAAGCTTTGGGCTGTTCTCTACTGCTTTCCCGGGCCACAAGCAGGGAGCTTAAAGGAAGTGGGGCTGCCGGAATTAGAACCGGAACCCATATGGGATCCCGGGCGTGTAAGGCCAGGACCTTAACCACTATGCCACCGTGCCAGGCCCCATGGAAGTGAAGTTATTAGCGTCTGCAATGTCTTTCTTCATAGTTGTTTGTGTGGGTGCTCAATATGCTTCTTTACATCATCCTATGCTCCATGCTAATTTGACAAGAAGTCACCAAACAGTGTTTTGGGGAGATTTTGTGGACTAGCTGATGGCATGTGAAGTTAATGAGCCAAGTGGAGTTGTCTTGGCTCTGGAAGTCCTGTGTTGTCCATTTCGAAGGTTGCACTTCAACTACACACTCAGTTCCCCTCATGTCACATACACTTTCAGGCATATGTGCTGCCAGAGCCATCGTTTTCCATGGCAGCTGAAAATGGCTTGGGCACTGAACTTCTCTCTGAATGTGGAGTTATTAGCGCCTGGAATGAGGATCTGCATCCTTGTCTTGTGTTGGTGCTCAACATGCTTGATTGCATCATCCTGGTCTCTATGGCTATTGAACAAGAAGTCAACAAACAGGTTTTCCAGACATCTGCCTGAAAAGCTGATACTGTGAGAATTTCATGAGCCTCGTGGGTCGTTTATTTACTGGAAGACCTGTGCTGTGCATTTTGCATATTGCAATTAACAAATAAACAATCCTGCAGTAATCCCATAAATTTTCATGCATATGTTATGACGGATCACTTCTTTTCCATCGTAGCTGAACATGGCTACAGCGCTGAGACTCTCTCTGGATATGGAGTAGTTAGAATCTCGATAGCGGTTCTTCATTGGTGTTTTGTGTGGGACTCAGCATGCTTGATTTCATCTTCCTGGATTCCATGAGCTTTGCGCGAGAAGTGACCAAATAGGGATTCTGGGAGATCTGCTAAAAGGTTCTTGTCATTTGAAGTTAATGAGCCAAAAGGAGTCCTTTCGGCACTGGAAGACCTGTTTGGTCCATTTTGAATGTTGCCATTTACCCAAACCCTAAGTTCCAATGGGATCACTTACACTTTCTGGAATATGTGCTGCCAGAGCACTTCTATTCCATAGCAGGTCATAATGTCTTGGACGCTGAACTTCTCTCTTCATGTGGAGTTGTTGGCTGTTATATTGAGGATTTACATCTTTGCTGGGTGTGTGCTCTACATGCTTGATTTCATCATCCTAGGCTGCATGGGCTTTGACAAGAGGAGACCAAACACTTCCGGGAGATCTGGAGGAATACCTGATGGTATGTGAATTTCATCAGCCAAGTGCAGTTGCTTTGGCATTGGAAGACCTGTGCTGTCCATTTCGAATGCTGCCAATCACCAACACACTCAGTTCCCCAGGGATCACATACACTTTCAGGCATATGTGCTGACAGTGCTGTCAATTTCCATGGTAGCTGAAAATGGCTTTTGTGCTTTATTTCTCCTGATGTGGAGTTGTCAGCTGTTAGATTGATTATCTTCATTGTCGTTTTGTGTGGGTGCTCAATATGTTGAATTGCATCATCCTGGTCTCCGTGGGCATCGAATGAAAAGAGACAAAACAGGATTCCAGGAATTCTGCAAAAAACCGTCATCCCATGTGATGTTAATGAGACAACTGTAGATGCTTTGACTCTTGGAAGGCCTTTGTTGTCCATTTCGACTGTAGCAATTCAGCAACACACTTAGTTCCCCAGGGAAAACTACATTTTGAGGCATATGTACTGAAAGAGCACTTGGTTTCCATGGTTACTGAAAATTTAATTGGCACTGAACGTTCTCTGCATGTGGAGCTGTTACTTGCTTTTGAGAGGATCTTGATTGTTTTTTTGTGTGGGTGCTCAACATGCTTGATTTCATCATTCTGGGCTCCACATTCTTAGGATTGAAAGTGACCAAACAGGTTCCCGGAGGTCTGCTCAAAAAGCTGATGTTATGTGAATTAATAGACCCAGGTGGAATCGTTTTGGCACTGGAAGACATGTGCTGCCCCTTTCTAAAGTTCCCATTAACCAAAACTGTCATTTAAGCAGTTGTCACATACATTTTCAGGTATATGTGCTGACAGAGCACTTGTATTTCATTGTACGTGAAAATGGCTTGGGCCCTAAACGTCTCTGATTATGTGGATCTGTTAGAGCCTGTTGTGATGATCTACATCATTCTGCATCTGGGTGCTCAACATGCTTGATTTCATGATTTTGGGTTCCATGAACATTGGATAAGAAGTGACCAAACATGGATTCCGGAGATCTGCTCAAAAAGCCCATGGTTGGTACTCTTAGTGAGCCACGTCGTGTTGCTTTGACCCTGGAATTCCTGAGCTGCCACTTTTGAATGTTGCCAATCAACAACACATGCAGTTCCCAGGGTTCAGAAACACTTTCAGACATATGTGTTTCCATAGCTCCTGTTTGTATGGTAGCTGAAAATGTCTGCTCGCTGAACTTTCTCTTAACTTATCTTTGAATGGTGAGTTGATAGGGTCTGGATTGAGGATCTGTATCGTTGTTTTGTGTGACTGCTCAACATGCTTGATTTCATCTTCCTGGGATCCAAAGGGCATTGAAAGAGAAGTATTCAAAACGGTTTCCCGGAGATCTGCTCAAAATGGTGGTTGTATGTGAAGTTATTCAGACAAGTGGAGTCATTATCGCCCTGTAAGACCTGTGCTTCCCCATTCAAATATTGATATTTACCTACACACTCAGTCCCCTAGGCATCACAAATACTTTCAGGCATATGTGTTGCCAGAGCATTTGTTCTCCATGGTAGCTGAAAATGGCTGGGACGCTGAACGTCCCTCAGGATGTTGAGTTATTAGAGCCTGTAATGAGGATCTTCATTGTTGTTTTGTGTAGGAACTCAACATGCTTGATTTCACCATCATTTCCTCCATGTGCATTGAATGAGCTATGACCAAACAGTTTTTCCGGGAGTTCTGCTCAAAATGTGATTCTATGTGAAGTTCATGAGACATGTGGAGACGTTATCACAGTAAAACAGATGTGCTGCCTCTTTCGAATGTTGTCATTTACCAACATACCCAATTCACCAGGCATCACATACACTTTCAGGCATATGTGCTGCCAGAGCTGCCGTTTTCCAAGGTAGCTGAAAATGTCTTCGGTGCTGAACTTCTATCTGAATGTGGAGTTGTTTTTGCCTGGAGTAAGGATCT